GCGTTCCATAACAGCCCCAAAAGTGGCTGAGGAGCTTCTCAAGTGGATAGCGCGGGTGGGCATTCCACAAGAGATACTTACAGATCAAGGAACAAACTTTGTCAGGAGTGATGAAGGCCCTTTGCAAGACCCTGGGCATCACCCAACTGAGAACATCGGTTTACCATCCCCAGACCAATGGCCTGGTGGAAAGATTAAATGGTACCATTAAACGACTACTTAGGCGGGGATCAGCAGGACCCTAAGGCAGGCTGACTGAGGGCAACCATCAGCCTATCTCCCTACGGTCAGGAGCACCTACCTGCTCAACAGCTGAGGCAGGAAACAGGCACCCTGGCAGGGGTGGAAGGAGTGGTCTCGGGAGATTGCCAGGGCCAAAACGTTGTTCCGGGAAGCCTCCCCATTCCGGAGGAATATTATTTCTAAAAACCAGGGGAGGAAAAAGGGAGAAGACCCAAGCCAGCGGCAGGGATCAGCAGGACTCTAAGGCAGGCTGACTGAGGGCAACCATCAGCCTATCTCCCTACGGTCAGGAGCACCTACTGGCCGACAGGCCAGCAAATAGCGGCGAGGTACCATCTCACCCGTGAGTGACCGGTTGGCGAGTGGACGGGGTGTAGGGGTGGCAGAGCCCTGTGGAACAACGGCACACCTCAACTGTGAGTACACCCACGTCGGGGAAACCCCTCGGGTAGAAGAACTCCACTGAACCCCTCCTTGAATCACCCATAACATCGAAGTCGTGGCAGGCGGGACGAGGGGGAGGGACTAGGCAGGACGAGGGGGAGGGACTACCTGACGAAGAGTGTTACCGGATGTGAGGTCCACCAACGTCACACCCACTGATCCAGGGTGGCCTGCCTCTGCTTCTGGGGGACAGGGGCTTTGGAGTGAGAGGGGGATTTCCCTTTGGGCACACTCCCACTGGTGCCAGGCTGAGGAGGAGCAGTGGCAAGAGGGTGGTGTCTCCTGATATGCATCAGCATCCCCGTGTGCTGAAGTGATTCTTGTCCTTGCCCCAGCTGGTCTTGCATCAACTGTGCAGGCAAATAGCATACTTGGGATCATCTGCCACCTCAAAATGATCCCATACTACACTACCCCCTCACTTCTGGGGTGCAGGTGAAAATCCTGCCTTATCCCCCTCCTCAGCAGGCAGAGGCACAACAACATGGGAAGCTGAACCACCTGCCCCCATAACCTCCTTTGCAGTACCTTCCGGAGAAGGAGACCTGGCTCTTGGGGAACTTTAAGGGGTATGGAACACTCAGATTCCCCCTCCTTCCCCAGAATTTCCCTGGCTATAGCACTGAGCTCCCCCTCCTTCCCCAGAATTTCCCCTTTCTGATTCCCCCTCCTTCCTCAGAAATTCCCTGGCTATAGCACCGAGCTCCCTTGGTTCCAGATCCAGCTCCTCCTCTGGCACTGGGAGGCTTATGCTGGGAACTGAAATTAGGGTGGAGGACACTGTCATGTTGGTGCTTGTCATGGTGGTGGTGCTGGGGGTCATTATTATTGCAGGCGTTAATGGAGGTTGGACAGGTGCAGACACTGCTCTCACTTCCTTGCTGCCACTAGCAGCAGAAGCCTCATGCCTGTTAGGGAAGACCATGTGTCTAAGTTGGGGCGGGGGGGGTGGAGAAGGACTTACAGCTCTCCTGCTGCATCCTCTCACTCCTCTTCTAGAAGACCTGGTACTTGCCTTTACAGTACGCTTTATGATGTTTGCTGTGCTGGAAAGTGTGTGTGTGTGTGTGTGTGTGTGTGTGTAAAATATATCTTCTATGTGTTTACTATATCTTCTTCTATCTGCTTATTTTACTATACCTTCTATTTACTATATTTTCTTCTATCTGTTTACTATATCTTGTATCTGCAATATATTGGAAAGGTGGATCCAATCCTTTCCATAAAGAGAGACTAGCAGGAGACTGACTAGGAAGCCAGTCACTGCAGCCAGCCACAGTACCTTTCACATGCTTTTGCGTCCAGAGAGACAGCTCACAAAAGGGACAGAAAGGCTTCACACAGAGCCCTATATGCTGTTTCTCCATCCTTCCCCCAGAGCACTGGGATTGGAAGGGACCTCAGGGACAGATCACAGACACTGAACAGCTACAGATATCAATATCAGAGCAGTCCCTCTCCCCACCTCTTTCCTCTCTCTCTTCTGAGTTTCTGTTTTCCTGCAAGCCCAGGTCTGAAATTCCAACATTTTCTGAAATTTTCCAAAATGTTTTGGATGGTTTAATTGAGTTCTGGAGATGTTTTGGAGCCTTCTATTTAATTTTGGATTTGGTGTTTTGGGCCCTGACATGGGCCAAAACACCTCTGAAATGAAACGGCTGCTGAAATTACACACAGCCCTACTGCACAGCACACATGCTGCACACGCAGTGCTAATTTTCTGCACAAGGAGTTTTTTGACACTGAGACACCCCGGTGTCAAAAAAAACCCGTAGCAGAAAAAGTGGGGCGGTGCACGGGGCAGCAGTGTGCACCACCTGAAATTGGAGCCTGGCTGGCTGGAGCTATGTTCTGGCTGCCAGCCAGGCTCCCTGCTGTCAAATCACGACTGCTCATGGGTGACTGGTTCCTCCTGGCCCTGGGGAAGTGGGCACCAGAGGGCAATTGCTGACTGGGGGGGGGAATGCTTGGGGGGGGGGGGGGGGGTCCCCCAGAGGCTGATTGCCAACTGAGGGGGGGTGGGTTCTCCAGCAGCTGATCACTGACTCCAGAAGCACCAGCGGCAAACCAGAAGTGCCACAGGTGCTCCCCACTCCCTGGCTGGCAAGAGCCAATTTCAGGGCGGGCGTGTGCCCCCCCATACCTCCCCTACTGGGGAAGGGGCCACCGCTGGAGCCCAAGAAGTCCCTGGAACCCCAGGTAAGGGGTGCAGGTCGCAGCCTCTCCTGCCCTACCTGAGGTAACGTGCTGTGCACCAGAGTGCATGTGCATAGGCATTCCCTGGGGATCGAGTAGCAGCAGCACATATTGTACCACTGCTATTTGTCCCCAGGAGAATGTATATGCCTGCATGTCTAGATCTGGCCATTGTTTCCAAGAAATGTAAGTACTTTATTAGCAGTCCTTTGGTAGGGACATAGCATGACTTCCCATGTTACCTTGTTCAGAATCTATCAGCACAGACAATAATGTTTGGTTTAAAAAGCTCAAAATCTAGATAAAAAAAAATTGTTCCAAACGTGGTATGGTTTCAAAACACTCATCACTCCTGCAATATGCTCCTGAATTATGCTAATAGCAGCACATTTGACTGTAGTATTAGGAATACTGACAGATTTAATTCCAGCTAGGTAGAACCTATCTTACCTTTTTATATTAATTCATGACACATTATCAATGCCTCTGGCAACATAGCCAGAAATAAATTACAAAGGGGAACCTGCCAGCCAGATAGTTTCTTGCTGATGGTAGTCTAGAAGATTAGCTGGGATTTAGGAGTTTACAATCAAGTTATCTAATGTTATGTCACAACTTTCATTCCTTTCCACTGTCCATTTTCCCAAGAGTAGCAAAATGTACCATTTTACAATGCAATATCAGTTTTCAGCCCTATTCTAGATCTAGCGTGCAACTAAGAGGATTTTAACTTGAACAAGATGGAAGAGGATGCAAAGCTGGCATATCACTTACCTGCTCGGTCTGTAACCTCTGCCTTCTTTGAACTTTTACCATATTGGCTATTTAACGTGAGTGATAGAAAATTGGATAGACTAAAATGTGTAATGTTAAAGCATGCATGCTCCTCAAACATCTTCAACACCAATAAAACAATGACAGAAGACTTACCTTTGATTTCTCAAAATAATCTCTCATTCTAGGTTTGCTAGGGTCTGCATTATAAAAGTTATCAGTGAGTGGAACTGCTATTCCCAGAACGGATGGAGGCCTATAATTTACCTGTATATAAATGCACAAAGGACAGATGGATACTGAATAAATATATGTTCAGATATAACCAAAGGGATTATAAAATAAATTCTTAATTTCTGAATAACATAACAGAAGAAATGTACATGATATTTAAACCAAGACGTACATGATATTTAGACCATAAAGGATACAAATATATCTGATGATTTATCTTTATCAAACATTTTAGTTTCCACTAGCATCCCTAATGGGGAAACACACACACAAACACAACTGTCTTACTCATTGTTGCCACTGAGCTACGAGATAGGAACAAAAAACAGTCCCTGTATATCTATGTACACACACACACACACACACACACACACACATCACACATACATAAATAGATAATGTTTATAAGATAACCAATGCGAGAAAAAAGCCATTTAAAGGTCAAGTTAATAACTTTACAATTGGGTAACTTTATTCTGTGCCTTGCCCCCACTGCTTCCATTTCAGATCTTCCATATCTGTGGGACCTACAAATCTTGAAGAAAACATAAAAAATGTTCCTATTGTTTCAAAATAACATGCTACAAAATAAAACCCTTGAAATAATTACAGACAAGGTTCTTTGGGTAAATATGATATCTTTTATTAGACCAACTAAATAGTTGGAAAAATTGTTCTTTGCAAACTTTTGGACACAAACACCCTTCTTCAGGCATAGGGAGAGTCAGCTGGTGTGTTGTTTTCTCCTGGATAGAATAGAAGCCAATATATAAAAAGCAGGTCTGTGAAACTGCAGATGCGTGGCAGTGAGGATCAGAGGGGATGGGAGAGAAGAGGTGTGAGACAGGTAGATGCAGGGGTGGGGAAAGGGGGAATGTTGACTTGGTGATAGAATGTAGCTGGTAAAATGTAGAGAGGTTACCTAAGGATATTGGATGGCAGGTAGGTTATAATGTGCCATAAATCCAATATCTATATTTAGTCCATGACTCTTTATATCCAGTAGATTTATGAAGGGCAGTTCATAGGCTCATGTATGAAAGGTGTTTTTTAAATTCCCTTTGTGAATTAGAACTGAGAGATTGGAGAGAGAGTGGTTGTTCTCTTCACAGGGCAAATTCAGTAGTATCACAGGGCTTGGCTATATATTATAGCTTTCTTCGTGTGTTTAGGGCAGGGTTGGTCAAAATATGGCCCATGGGCTGGATCTGGCCTGCAAAGGGGCTTTGACTGGTCATGATGGGTCCCTTGGTCCTGCCCGGCCGAGACACTGCCCGGCTATGGCGTATCTTGCTGCCCCCTGTGCATGCAGAGGGGCTGGGGTGGCTCTTTCTGGCTCTCAAACCCTTCCCCCCAACCATAACCGTCTCCACACACAATCCCACACCCCACAAACACCATACCTACCCACACCCTCCCACTCATTCCCCTACACTCACACCTGCATGCCTCTGGGGGAACCCCACTCACTGCTACATGCACACACCACACATTCACCCAGGCACAACCCTAGCCACCCTCCCCCTCCCCATACACACCCATACACACACCCACACATCCCCATAATCCCACATCGCCACAAACCCCCATACCCTCCCCCACACCCCACATACACACACATCCACACACACATTCACACATACACCCACAGTCCCCCACAAACCCCATACCCACCCACCCATACCCCCCACACCCCTTTATACCATACAAGAGTAAGACTTAATTTTGAGCTATTATGCAATCACTTCCATATATATAGCACAAACACACGCAAATCAGGACAAAAATATTAAAAAAAAATAAAATTAAAATATATTGTTATGGGTGTTTTATTTTTAGTATGTAATTTGTTTTTTTTTCCTGGTTCCAAGATGGCAAACCCCTTTCCCAAAAGAAGTACTTACAGGGGCAAGGGGAGGGACATCCGGTGGCAAACGTCAAAGGTTAGGGGATGGGACTTCCGGTCCCAAGATGGTGACTGGGCCGGGGCACCCTTGTGACCCTCAACAGCTCACCAAAACTCATGAAGTGGCCCCCAAACCTAAATAATTGCTGCCCCTGGTTTAGGGTGATTGCTGATTCTGTGTAGATATATATGTTGGTCCATGGGTTTCTTGCATATGGTTTGTATTTTACCATTCTGAATCTTGATCATAGTGTCTAAACAGGAAATGTTGGTGTTGGAGTATTCCAGAGAGAGTCTGATGGAAGGGTGATCATTATTGAATTTTTAATGGAAATCAATCAGAGATGGCAGGTTTTCAATCCAAATGATGAAGATGTCATCTATATATCTTAGCTTTAGTATGGGTTTGGTGCAGTTTTTGAGGAATTCTTCTTCCTGGTGTCTCATAAAAAGCTTGGCATATTGTTGGGCAATTTTTGTGCCTATAGCTGTGCCCTTGGTCTGGAGGAAGTGTTGGTTATTGAAATTGAAGTTATTGTGTGTAAGGATGAAGTGTATAGCTTCAGTAATATGGGCCACCTGGAAAAAATTCCTGAAGAACTGCATCACTGATACCACTGAATTTGCATTGAGGAGAACACCCTGATCATCAACTTCCAAATCTCAAAAGGGCTTTCACTCAATAAGGACACTTCTCCAGAGAGACAGATTGCACTTCTGAAAGAGCCACTCGGATACCACATGAAGAATTGTTGCAGTACAAAAAGAAAATCTCCATGAATCTCATACCACTAATGATGACATACCATTATTCCCTGGAACCTATATGGAAAATAGGCACTGAACTTCACCAACCTCATCACCAGAAGCAAACTTCCTATGTCTCAAAACAAATGAATGGATCCAGACCATGCCAGGACAAAAATGTAAAACCTGCCAACACATCTCCCCTACTCCACAATACCTACAACCCACAATAGAACCATCACCATTCCTGGATCTTACACCTGCACCTCCAGAAATGTAATATATCTCATCCAGTGCACCAAATGCCCTGATGGAAAATATGTAGGAGAAACCAAACAACTGCCTACCAGAATGAACGCACACTGAAAATCTATCAACAACAAAATACCCCATTACCGGTTGATCACATTTCTCACAAGAAAACCACTCTCTCTCCAATCCCTCAGTTTTAATCCTCAAAGGGAATTTACAAAACATCTTTTGTAGATAAGCCTATCAACTTCACTTCATCAACCTGCTGGATACAAAAAATCATGGACTAAATATAGACCTATTGGATTTATGGTACATTATAACCTACCTGCCATCCAATAACCCCGGGTAACCTCTCTACATTTTACCAGCTACATTCTATCACCAGGTCAACATGCCCCCTTCCTCCCCTCACCTACCCATCTCACACCTATTGTCTTTCATAGTTTCTGATCCTCACTACCATATATTTGCATTTTCACAGACCTGCATTTTGCATATTGGCTTCTATTTCATCCAGGGGAAAACAAAACACCAGCAGATTCTCCCTATCCTCGAAGAAGAGTGTTTGTGCCCAAAAGCTTGCAAAGAACACTTTTTCCAACTATTTAGTTGCTCCCTATAAAAGATATTACATTTATCCAAACAGCTTTGTCTACCTATGTCCAACACAGCTACAACCAACACCCTTGAAATAATTACTTAATATTTCAGTTTTCTCAACTTAAATGTGATAAATGCTTACAACATGTTTTTAACATGGTATATTTATTTTGTGTCCAATGTTTGAGCCTTGGCTTCTGGTTTTGCACACTTGCATTTTAGTGTCCAACCAACTACACTTACACAAAAGGGTGAGCTGTTTTATACATTCACTTCCCCAAGTTGTGTGTGAAAATAAGTATGCACCCCTTCTGGATTGTCTACAGAAATGGATACAGTAACATAATGTGGGGTGAGCAAGGGGGACATGCAGGGGATGTGGGGCAGAAAATTTTCCAGTGCTTCATTTTTCTGTGGGAAATTTTCCATTTCTAAAAATTAATTGTTTCATAAAATTCATTAGTAACAATGAATGGATGCCAATACAATATTAGGTAAGCTTGGCAGTTTCAAAGCTTGGCGATCATCACCTGCTGGATTTCACTATCCAACGCAGGGCGTCGAGGGTTCACACCAAGGCTAAAGCCCTTGACTTCAGAAGGGCCAACTTCAATGAGCTTAGGAGACTAGTGGGGGAGGCACTAAGGGCCCAGAAGGTAGAGGAGATGGGAACTCACGAGGGATGGTCGTACCTTAAGGGGGCGATCCTCTAGGCCCAAAGGATAACAGTCCCTGAGAGAAGCAAGTGGGGTAAGAGTGCTCAGAGACCCCCTTGGCTCAGCAAGGGCATTCAGCAATGCCTGAAGACTAAAAGGGAGGTGTACAACCAGTGGAAGGGAGGAACTATCACCAAGGAGGAGTACTCCTCCTCAGCCTGGGAGTGTAGGAGGGCTATTAGGAAGGCCAAGGCAGAGATGGAACTCAGCTAGCGTCCAGGATTAAGGAAAACAAAAAGTCCTTTTTCAAGTACATTGGGAGAAAGAAGAGGGCACCAGGCAATGTAGGGCCCCTGCAAGACACAAAAGGTAATCTGGTGGCCACGCCAGACAAGAAAGCTGATATTTTTAACAGTTTCTTTGCCTCTGTTTTCCTGAACAGGGACCAGGATATCCCACCTACCAGAGGTAGGGACAATCTTGGGGATAGCTCTATCAAGCCTT